TTTTGTCGCTTTCCATGTTTCAAATAGAATGCGGTGAATGAAACCACTTTTGTTGAAAGAAAATATGAGAAACTCTGGAAGGATGTTCTGGAAGGATGACAACAGGGAAGTTCAATCAGAGATGGCTGCTCCTCCTCTAAACACTATAAATACTGTATGTGATCCCCTTCTCTCTCACATACATCGTTCTGCATCCCACCTCCAACTGCCCCTTGGTCACTCCTCACTTTGCATGGGGGTCCCAGCCTCCTCATCCTCTGGCCAAGAGGTCAGCCCAAAATTTTAGCCTTTAGTCCATTCAGTACACTTCATTTCTGGGTGTTGTTATTCCTAGTGAAAGCCCCGTGATCATTACCATACAATTTAATTTTTGTGGACCTGTGCAGAAAGATGTGTGAAAGGAGTGGTAAACATATACAACCTGTTAGTTTAAGCTCTGCCAATAATTCACTCTGTGTCCTCCTTGTACCCCCTGTCATCAGATGAACATCAGAAACAGGGGTCAGAAACTTAAATCCGTGACTTTTGAAGAGGCTCTGATGGGACCGGCCTCTTAATGGCCTTTCCCTAAACACTTGACATGAGTATCTGCTAAATTACCAATATGGGAATAAAAACACAGTAAGACGTAAATATCTGATAAACATCTTTCCTGGTGGACAGATAGACTGGTGTCACTCCTTCTCTCTCAATCACTTCCAACTTCTATTTAATCTTCTAAAAAGACATGCAAAACACCCCCACCCACTGACACACACACACACACCTCCCTTCACCTTTATATACAGACTGAGACCTCTACAAAGACTCACCAGACAGCAAGACTGTCTTTAACCTCAACATCTCTTCACTCTTCACTTCACCAACTTGGGCAGTAAACATGATTCTTACATGTACTGTTCTGCTGGTGCTGCTTCCTTGTAAGTGCATGAATTCAGCAAAAATCTAGTACTGAGCCCTGTCAAATTAAAGGAGAAACCAAGGAAACTTTTTACAATTAATGCTTTCTAAACACCTCTGTTGAGGCATTAATCTTTGTTTTTACTTTTTTATGTCTGTTGTTCATTTTAATTTGCAGAAATACAAATGTATTAATTGTTTGAGTCTCCTTCTGCCATTATGCCACATATCTTTGCTTTCTTTTACAGATGTGCGCTGCATTACTTTGACCTCCTCAGATCCTGAAGTTAAGCAGCCTGGAGAGGCAGTGAAAATTTCCTGTAAAATATCCGGATACTCTTTAACGGATTATGGCACAGTGTGGGTCCGTCAGCCTCCTGGTAAAAGGATGGAGTGGATCGGGATTATCTGGGGAGGTGGAAGCATCGATTACTTAGAGTCACTCAAGAGCCGGTTTGTCATCAGCAGAGACACATCCAGCAACGTTCTGTACTTGGAAATGAAAAGCCTGACAGATGAAGACACAGCTGTATATTACTGTGCAAAAACAGCCACAGTGAAGGAAATTGACGCCCAGCCTGTACAGAAACTGACAGTGCAGAAAGCTGCACAGCTGACAGCAGAGCTGTCAATAGAATGTCAATAGTGAATGAGGCACGAGAGGATGCAAGAGGAAACTACTGGGAAGAGCTTTAAGCCCCAGAATGAGCATTTCTTCAAGCTAAGTATTGTGGGAGAATAAAAGAAGCTACCCAGCCATGACAACATTGAAGCCAAAACCCCGGCTTCTTACAAGGAATTGCTGAATAACATTTTTGGATCAATGAACTACTGACTACCAAACAGTCTAGATGAGCTGAATAGCCTCATCTTGATTTTAATCCTTCTTATGCTTTCCTTTCTGCAGTTACTTGAAAAAGAATTCAATACTGCGAGTTACCGTAAATTCTCATATAGTACCGCAAATAAAATAATAGTATCCGGAATTTCCGCAAGGTGGAGCTAATAAAGCTCAACCTCTCATGTTTGAGCTGTTGCCATCAAAGCCTTACTTTGCCATGTTTGAACTGTTGCCATCGAAGATATTACTAATAGTATTAATAATAATAATAATAATGAATTACCTTGATCAAGCTGTAAACTCAAAGTATTGCCCTGGTCCACATTCTTTTTTTCATTGACTGTCTTTGTAAAAGTAACACCACAGCATTTCGCAATCACGCATTTGTTTCCAATCATGCAAAGTACAGTAATTTTTGAGAATCTCCGATTCACCATGCCTTTCACATGCTCATAAAAGAGATTGATTTAGGAACAAAAAAATATTACTGTATGCAAACTGTACTGTATACAGTATGTACATGTATATGTATATTTAATGTCTTAACTGTGCCCGTTTAAGAATTGAATATATTGAATTTTACCACTGAAGGGAAATCTTAGTAGCTGAGCATCAAAAGAATAGGAGCATACTGTAATGCGTGTGAAGGCCATAAACGATATTAATTTTGGAACATAAACATACAGTATATGGCTGGTCTCGGTACTTTAAAGAAAA